AAAGCAAATTGGAAGTCTGAGCAAACTGGCCTGGCTGAGCCGTCTCTTTGTTCATGGAGGGTTGGGCGCAACCAAAACCGGAAGTCTTGATCATTTTGCTTTTTCCCAGCCCGGAAAAAAGCAAATTGAAAGTGTAGGCCGGGAAAAAGCAAGTTCAAAGTCTGAGTCAAATTGGGAAAAATCAGTTTATATCAGGGTTACAAAGTAAAATTAAGGAGCTGTGGCCTAATGGATAAGGCGCTCGGCTCATAAGCAGAAGGTTGCGGGCTCGAATCCAACAGGTGTTGCTTGTTTCCAGGCCGGATTCCAAACTGCAAGCCTGATACATTTTGCTTTTTCCCGGGCCGGGAAAAAGCAAATTGGGCCGGGAAAAAACAAATTGGAAGTCTGAACCATTTTGCTTCTTCCCGGGCCGGGAAAAAGCAAATTGGAAGTCTGGACCATTTTGCTTTTCCCGGCCCGGGAAAAAGCAAAATGGAAGTCTGAACCATTTTGCTTTTTCCCGGCTTGGAAAAAAGCAAATTCGAAGTCTGAACCATTTTGCTTTTTCTCGGGTTGGGAATAAGCAAATTCGAAGCCTGAACCATTTTGCTTTTTCCCGGGCCGGGAAAAAGCAAATTGGAAGTCTGAGCCATTTTGCTTTTTCCCGGCCCGGAAAAAAGCAAATTGGAAGTCTGAACCATTTTGCTTTTTCCCGGCCCGGGAAAAAGCAAATTGGAAGTCTGAACCATTTTGCTTTTTCCCGGCCCGGGAAAAAGCAAATTAGAAGTCTGGACCATTTTGCTTTTGCCGGCCCGGGAAAAAGCAAATTGGAAGTCTGGACCATTTTGATTGGAAGTCTGAACCATTTTGCTTTTTCCCGGCCCCGGTCAAAAGCAAATTGGAAGTCTGAACCATTTTGCTTTTTCCCGGCCCGGGAAAAAGCAAATTGGAAGTCTGATACATTTCCAATTGCTTTTTCCCGACCCTTGGAAAATTCTTTGTCGTGGGAAACTGCGCAAGTATGGCGAAAGGTTCGCATTGTGGATGCGAAAGACGACAGGGCCAAACCCCACCCCACTCCACTCTTCTTGCTGGAAGCACGCGCTGGACACTCCAGCTGCAGATGCACTCATAGCATGCCCACAAGTGCAGGTATGTGAGGTGAGGTGGTTGGTTCTACGGCTGTAAGTGCGCATACAACACGGTCGGTGACTCCAGCGTGCGGTTCTGAGGATGTAACGTGAGCGTGCACTCGACACACACACACACGCAGGGTTTGTTGTTTGTTGTTTCTGATCTGTTGGATTTCGTTCCGCTGCAGTCCTTGGAAGGACCGCAGGCATCGCTACTAGTGACAAGGACGCTACTAGGGGCTCCTGGCATCGCTACTGGTGACAAGGACGCTACTAGGGGCTCCTGGCATCGCTACTAGTGACAAGGACGCTACTGGGGCGCGGGGGTGCGGGGGAGATTGTAGTTCATTTTGGTGCATTCCCGAGAGAGCAGAGAGCAGAGAGAGAGAGAGAGAGGCAGAGACGGAAATGACCATCTGCAGCTCTCTGTGTCAAGTCATGCCGCTGTCTGAACCATTTTGCTTTTTCCCGGCCCGGGCAAGAGCAAATTGGAAGTCTGAGCCTTTTGCTTTTTCCAGGCCCGGGAAAAAGCAAATTGGAAGTTTGAGCCGGAAAAGCAAACTGGACATCCAGTTTTCTTTTGTAAAGCCTGGAAAAAAAGCATGTTTTTCAGAGAGCTGCAGCCTAATGGATAAGGCGCCAGGTCCATAAGCAGAAGGTCATGGGCTCGACTCCCCCGGGCGCTGCTTGTTTCCAGGCCGGATTCCAAACTGCATACATTTTGCTTTTTCGCGGGCCGGGAAAAAGCAAATTGGAAGTCTGAACCAATTTGCTTTTTCCCCTGAACCATTTTGCTTTTTCCCGGCCACCATTTTGCTTTTTCCCGGCCGGGAAAAAGCAAAATGGAAGTCTGAACCATTTTGCTTTTTTCCGGCTTGGAAAAAAGCAAATTGGAAGTCTGAGCAAACTGGCCTGACTGAGCCGTCTCTTGTTCATGGAGGGTTGTGCCCAACCAAAAACACACCAACATGAAAACTGCTTGGTTGGCTGGCTTCCTGTTCCTCAGCAATCAATGTGTCAGTGGTCAGAGGACACACGACGTGCCAGGGCAACTGCATGAATCCTTGAAAGCCTCTAGCCCCAACGAAAAACCATTTTCGCCGACAGTGGTAAAACCCCACGCGCGAAAGCTTGCGAAAGCTTCGCGAAGGTCCTGCGAAAGGCCTGGAAAAAATGAAAGGACTTTTGAACAACCCCCATATCTCTTTACCAGTTCAGAAGAACTCTACCTTTACACCAGTGGTCAATGGGACAGTCGATCGACCAATGACCGGATGCCAGTTACACCAAAGCTCATCAGCCAGCGGCCACACAGGCGGGTGTCGCCACACACGGTTCTTGACGGGAGGGTTCACGTGTATGGCGCAAGGCCGTGGGCCGTCTAGACATGTGTAGACTTGGTGTAGTAGGATGGCCCCTAGTAGCGTCCTTTGTATAGAGAAGATGCCCCAAAACCACGGATGGTCAGGTGCCGCGAGGCTTCTACGAGACGCGTCAGCGGATCCGAGCCGCGTACGAAGTGCGCGAACGGGCGCTGCAGCAGCGGGAGGACCCACTCGGTGTGGTTCAAAACATGTACTGAGTACATTTGAGTACTGTCCGGTGGACCCACGACCAAGGGTGAAATCAAGCGGGCCATGGATAGTCATGGCTGGCTAGTTCTTTCGGTTTGACTACTTGTAGTACGTAGCGACGTAGTAGTTTTAGCATGTTTTAGCTCATGCCGTGATTAGCGACCGTGAGCTTTTATTATCGTGTTTATGCTTTTTACACTTTTTCACTTCGTTTGGATGTGCAGCAATTCCAGCAATTCCATGCGAACAAGAGTGCAACCCTATTAGCTAAACCCCAAAGCTTTAAGACCTATAGTCCCTAAACATCCCTAAACAATTGGTCGAGGGGCGAACCACGGAACAAGATGCGTCCTGGTAATAGTAGTGATAGTAGTGATAGTAGTAGTAGTAGTAGTAGTAGTAGTAGTAGTAGTAGTAGTAGTA